GATCCTGGAGTCCCTGGATCGAGTCCCGCATCGGGCTCCCTGCTCAGCAAGGAACCTGCTTCTCCCTCTGACCCTCCCCGCTCTCATGTGCTCTCTCTCTCGTTCTCTCTGTCTCAAATAAATTAAAAAAAAAAAAAAGAAGTTACCAGGCACGCTGCTGTGTTTCACTGGCTTGTGGCATCAACAAACAACAGATACCTTACGGCTATTTTTAAAAAGAGAGATTATCTGTCGCAGCTCAGTCCCTCAATAACAAAAACTTTTATCTCAATTGTTTTAAGAAGTGAAAAAAAGGTGGAGGGAAACCAACACCCAGGGCTGTACTGTGTTACAGGGAACATAAGAAAGAAAAAAAACGCAATGAAGTGCCGTGAGAGACCTTTCCACTGGGACAAAGGCATCAACAACTGACCTTTCAGTGAAACCTCATCCACACTTCCTTGGGTCTCCTCTGCTCCGCTGTTATCAGAGGCACTTTTGGCTGAAATACCTGAAGCACTATTTTCCTGCTCAGAACATTTTTCAGGGCATGAATTTGCAGTTGATAGCTCTGCTTCACAGCTGATATTCCCAGGCACTTTGTCATGGTGGTGGCTCATCCCAAGTTGATGCTTAAGTTGACTGCTTATGTCTGTGGGTCTGGTTGGTGAGTTTGACTGAGCTGTGAGCGCATCCACAGACTCAGGGTATGCAGCTTCCTCCCAATCTGCAGAGGATGGCTTCTGCACCTGTCCTAGGGCTCCATCTGGACCAGCTCCATATTGCAGTACTTTACCATCCAAATCATTTGGGCGGGCAACAGAGACCCTCTGAAATCCTTCTGTGGGAAAGTCACAATTTTTACTTGGTGTGTTCTCCGGAATAAGCTCGCTCTCCATATGTTTTTGGTCTTTTGTGACACTTGAATCTAGAAGATTGTTACCAGCTGAGGTTGCTGTTTCTGGGTCACAATGATTCTTTACATCAAAAGTACGTTTTTTCTCTAACTGGAGTTTGTCTGGTCCCATCTCAACTGCAGAGGAGTCTAAAAAGGACAGTATGGTGTCTTCAGTGGAGTACTGACGTGATACTGATTTCTTAGCCACATGCGGCTTAATCTTACCTGGAGACAGGGCAGCCATTGTGAGAGTGCTGTCTTCTAAGTAGGGGAGATCTGTATTGTTGCCCTCTTTTTGCTTCACTTCTTCAGACTTGCTGATGGACCTAAGGTTAACAGATTTCAGGACTGTCGGTGTAATTGCAAGGGACGGTGGAGGATTCGACCGCAGTGTTTCTCCTACTGGGTTCTGCTTACTATGAGTAAAAACATGCAGTGGGTGACGGTGGTGGAATGGTTTATTCAAGACACTATGAAGAGCACTTAGGTCAAGATGGGTAGGAGGTATAATTGGAAGTTCGAGGTCTTTACTCAGTGAAAGAGCTCCATCTTTTAAAGAGGGTTGCTGTAGTGAGGATTTCCTTTCTGGGACTTTCGGTTTTCTTTTGCTACCTCCGGGAGACAGTGGACCGGAAAAGAAAGCTGTAGGGAAAGAGGAGGTCGGTGTTTCAGACTGGCTCGAGTAGCCACTTGATGGCGATGCCAAGCCGGCCAGCTTTTCTGGTGAGGCCAGTTTAAACTCATTGTCAACAGAGGGAAGGGATGGGGTGGTGGCTCTTGATTCTGACTGGGATGTTTGGGATTCAGAGCTCTCTGGAGATTTGATGCATTCAATAACTGTGGTACCCGTAGCAGTACTTGAATTAGATAAAGATCTGTAAGGATCATTTGTTTTCAAGTCATTGAGAAGCCAGAGATCTGCATAGTGAGTTGATTCAGCACCTTCATCCTTGAATGGTGGAGTATCTGAAGTGTCTAACTGAGGTTCCTTAATACCATGTTCACTCTGGTTCATCCAAGCAGATTCTTGCTTGGTGGGAAGGTTGGCAGTTTCCATTCGAGAAGGCGTGTTGGAGAAATCAAGAGGCAGCTTCATTTCCCTGGAACTGTGAGGCAGGAGCTGGCCACTGCTTATCTTTGGTTCTTTCTTCTCAGAAATGTCTGCATTTCCATCGGACTTCCTCAATGATGAACTACGTTTAGGTGGGGTCGGCTTTGCCTTTGGTTTCCTGAAAGAGATGCTAGGTCTCCCCTGCCTCCTGTGGTCTAAGTAGTCCTGCCAGGCACAGTCCGGAAGAGTAGGAGGTACCCCGATGCCCTGGCCATTCTCTGGGCCCAGGGCTGCATAGTGACAGACATAATTCTTACTGCCTTTGAGACCACAGTCAAAGTGCATGGAAGTGTAGTATCCTTCTGTGTCCACTGAAAAGTGAGAGCTAGTGTCTGCTTTGTCTGATGGAGACTTTTCCAGAAAGCTGTCATAAGTGGCCATGCTTGTGAAGCTCGGGCAGCCCAGGCTGTCTGCCTTGGGGCGCTCAGGACTAAAATCCTGGCGGCAGGAGGCATCGTGATGGTGGTGTAGGTAATTCCACTCACTGTCACTGGTGTTGCTGTTGTTGGGGTCATCCAGCAGATCTGCCACAGTGGAGGTAAAGGAGTTTGCCCGGTGGCCTCTCACTTTATCCAGGTGGTCATTGTACTGCTCTGTCACGAAGACATTGGCATCCTCATTAGCATGAGGGGCTGTGTTGAGTGACAACTCCGAGTCACAGTGTGAAGAGCCGGTGAGGGGAGGAGAAGCTGCAGGAGGGATTGTCTCTGAGGTCTGTGAGGGGCATGTGGAGCTGCTCCCACTCCAGTTGCCACTGGATGACTGGTGGTCATCTTTTTGGTCCATGTGGCTGCTGAGGAGGACGCCAGCCGTGGAGATGCAGTGGATGGGGCTCCCAAAGGTGTCTGAGTTGGAGGAGATGTCACAGCTGCCAGAGTCAGCAGCCATTCGGGACAGACGTGACCTCCCTCTCTCGTTTAACTTGTGCTGAGGGCTGTGAAGACGTTGAGAACAAGCCAGGCCCAAAGCAGGCTGGTGTTCCTGTGCACTTGGGCTGCTGGGGGCCTCACTGCAATCATTTGGGGTTCTTTCTTGGTCGCCCATGAAAGGCTCCCCCTCTTCATATGCTGAGGGTTTAGCACCAACTTTGGGCTCAGCATCCCCACCTCTATTGCCCTCCCGGGGGAGGCTCCGAGATCTTGTACGGCTGCTCACTGCAGTAGTGAACATGCTGTCGCCTTTGTCTGCCAACGCAGAGATGTTGCCAGCAGAATGAGAAAGGGAAGCTGCAATGCTTTGACCCCTTTGAGCTCTGATTCTCCTTCTGGATGGAGCAGCAATCAGAATATCTTCAGTTTGGCACTCTGAATCCCTGGTTCCAGACCTCCTGTTGACAGTGTTGGAAGGGTCTGGATTCGTGTGCACAATCACATTCCTTTCCCTGGCCACAGGGGATTCATCAGAATCTAGGGCACACGGAAAGCACAGTGAGATATTTCATACATCAGCAGACTAACAGACATTCTGAGAGATGTCCAAAAATCTGGGTGGTGGCATGTTGGATCTTTCTCTTTGAGGAAAAAAAATCAGCATATAAAATTAGGAGAAAGTTAAAATGCTTTGGGGAATCTGTCCTTTGCCTCTCTGTCTCTGTCTCTACGTGTGTGTGTGTGTGTGTGTGTGTGTATACTAAGAGAAAATGCTTTTAGATCTTTTGTGAATTCTCTCTTCACTATCAAATTACTTTGCCCCAATAAGTGACTACTATTTTTTTTTAAATTAAAGTGCATTTTGTCTTCTTGGCCGCTATTCTTTTTTATTTTGTAATATATGCCCAGCAAAATAAAACTCTTAAAATTCATTATAAGTAATAAAAGAGATGCTATAGTAATAATAATAATAATAATAATAATAATAATAAAGCATAGGAAGAGATTCCTAAACACATGGAACAGAAAAAAATAGAAGAAAAGTCATAAAGGGTAACATGTTATCAATAGTCAGTATTTAATTGAATATGCTTAAATTTTACCTTCTTAATTAATGCCATAAAAGTATATCTCTCTTCAAGTAAAGGTATAATTTTCCCAAAATAATCTTTCATTGAATCTTGCTACTTTTTATTCCATCTTAATAAAACTTTAAAAAATTGCTTATCATTTCCATCTTAATAAAACTTTAAAAATTACCAAAATATTACATTTCAGCCATAAGACTTGAACATGTATACCTAAATTCCTAAGGTTAAATCTTCACAGTCAAGAACAGAGATTCAAAAAGTAATACCACCCAGCTTGCTGAACACAGAACAAGTACACGCCATTTCAAACCTCTACAAGTTACAACACTGACGATTTTTAAGGAAGCTGATTAAAAGGCCGGCTTCCATTTCATCTCCTTCTAATTGACACCCAACAGAATGTTAACCATTAACAGTTTTATACTACACCTATTTCTTGTTGGACTCTTCTGGGGATACCCGAGATGGTTTTCCTCCTCCTCAGTTTCCGTCTCCGCTGTAGTACGGATTGTGAATGAACAAGAGAGCAGCGTATACTAGCCTCTCTGTCAAAACCAACTCCTGCAACCCACAAATAGGTCTCATTAGCCTTTAGAAACGGCAAACAAATTTTCATTTGCTTGGAACACAGTGATATTTATTGATTGGAAGTAAAGGAAGAGTTTGGATTAAGCCCGTGAATAAATATAAGGGAGCCCTTATTCAGCTCTTATTTAAATTACTCTGCAGTACATTAAGCTTTACTTCTAAATGCAGCTCTGCACAACAGCTTGCACTGCCAAGAGTAACAAGCAAAGAAGGAAAATCAAAAGAAAGAGGAGAGAAAAATAACATCAAAGAATCACTCTCACACAGAAACAGCTCCTGAAGGGCTTACAACCTTTAGTTACTCCTATTTACGGGTCTATTTCTGGGCTCGCTGAACCTGTCTTTGCATAGTAGTAGATCCAGAGCCAAGATGTTAACCTGAATTAGTTCAGCTAACATATCCTGACCCATTTCTTCATTAAAAGCATCTTTGTGAGGTTTTTTTTCCTCTCTCTACCACTGCACCCCAACCCTACACACAACACAACACACGCACACACTCCTTCTATGAGGAGAAAGTAGCCTAGAGATTTGTTTTTAAATCATCATTGAACTCTATTTTCTTCTACTGTCTCAGTTGGACACTTTTTGGTATGGCACCAGTGTCTTATCACTATAAAATAAGAATACAAGGCAGTCCTCAGTTCTCTACTTAAGTGGATCTACGTTCTCTTTCAGCTGTAAATGAAGCTGGAATTCCCAGTCTTTACAATGAGTGTCTGTTTGCTTTTATAAATACAGGGGCCAAACCTTGATGCTTGTTTGTTTCTCTCTCCATAATCACATTATTGATACACTACATGCAGTCTTATCAAAACTAGAATGGTGAGGAAGGAGGTGAGGAATTCACACTCCTGTCTGGCACAGGCATGTGCCATGGATTTTTCAGAGTGAGCTTTGCCTCGGAAAGTCAGGATACCAAAAGTGCGTTGGAATCTGGTTGCCTCATCATTTATCCTGATTGTTACGCATAGAGCAGGATGGCGTGTTAAACCTCAGCTCAGCTATAAAATGAAGCAATTTGAGTTCTGCTTAGCATCACAGTGACAACAGTTTCCAGAACTCACTTTTGAAAAAAATCTGTGAGATGTCACATGATGACTAATTATTATATTAATTGGAGAATTCATACTAATGGAATTTTCCTTTCTTAGCTCCAGCCAAAAATTAAGATCTTTCATTCTACTCATAATAATTACAGAACACATGGCACACAGACACACTTTATGTTATATGGACATAATTAGCAGCTTTTTCACTAAAGCTCTTGAAATCAACATATAATCTGGGCTTTAGTCTGAGAGTTCCTGAAATAAAGCAGAAGGAAAGATCTTCCCTTTTCCTGAATCACAAGACCCATAATCAAAGAACTAAATTTGAAAACAAGATCTACTTACAGTGCTATGAAGAAAGCAGGTGCTGCTTGTAATCATCAAATGTTCCCAGAAGGGAAAGTTAGTTTAAGAGGATGCCAAAATGATACATTTTGATATCTACCTAACCCAGCCCATTTAGATTATGGAGATCAGATAAAGTATGCATCCTTAGAATAATTTATCCTGCAAGTTGAATAGGTCAGCAGGAAAATTACTCCTAGCTCATAACCAGCTGATCAACCAGAATTCCTGTTTTTCAGGAAGGAAATAATATCTGTCCTGGATATCTGGTCATTTGCTCTCCACTTTATGTGAGAGAAATCTGAGTGGGATTAATAATAGCCATGTCCAAAATGCATCTCGAGCGACATGCAACCTTTAGTCACATGGTACCAGGATAAAAGTAGTAACGTGGCCATTGTGAAATTTTCAATATACAAATAAATTAAAATATAACTATTAGAGATGTTTAAAGAAAGCCCAATGGATAGATCATTTTCTGTCTGTCTTTGAAAGTGAGAATATTTCATAACATCATTTCACTTACAGCTAAGATTACCAGGTCCCATTGTGGAATCTACAGTCTCCACAGATAAACTTTTCAAGAAAAGTCTGGACAGGCTTGCGTTCGACCTAGACTAATATTCAAACTCTCAGTACACAAGAAGAGGAAAGCAGAGAGGAATGTAAGCCAGGCTGGCTGGATTAGAATAGAATGCAGCCTTCATCTTTGAATCCGCATATTTTTAGGTCAGAAATCACCATAATCGATGCAGAAATCTAAACGATCTTTTTAAACAAGCCTACCTTCATCCAAAGAAGCCTGAAAACAGATTTTATAGTTGGTCTACAGGATCATTACTTGCAGTTTGAGAGACCTGGGGTTTGCTGTTTTCTTTCTTGCTGTGCCATGCATCATTATCATATGACTAATCACTGCCGCTTTCTCCATTATTTCAGTCAGCTATGACCAAAGAGCTATTTGGTGACTTTTTTCAAAAAGAAACTGTCCATCATTTACATAACAAGCGGCCCAGCAGAACATATGCAAATGGATGTTCAAAACCTGACAAAAGCATATTGAACATCTTCTGGGTTGTATTCTGATGAAAAAGGTATTGCTTGTTTACAAAGCGGTATTCTTAACTGGTCCGCCCAGCAGCACAGGCTTTGAACACATTTAAAACACAGAATATTGTGCCCCTAAGAAAAGAACAGAACGGTACCAGTGACATTGATGGGAATAATGCAGGAAGAAATCACTTGGGCATCTTGTTTCATCTTCTCCTCTGGTGTTGGGAGAGGCAGTGCTTTGCTCCAGTTGGTCTGCTTGTCCAGCGTCGATGGGATATTGTGTACTGGGTTTTTCGGCCGCTGCCCTAACATGACATCTGTATCTTCGTCCTCCGGGGGATGGGACTGCAAATGAAGTACATTCAGACTTAGCCAGAATGGTTTATATGTGAGCACACATATTAAGGAATTTCACAGTTAAGAACAGCGAGGTCAGAAATAAGCTTTTAGGTCAAAGGAAGAATTCCTAGAAATAGTTAGTAAGCACCACTAATTGAAAGTTATAATTTCAATAGTCAAGCGACACAAAAGAAAAAATGGACTTAATAAACATGCTTTTCAGGTTAAATGGAATTAAGAGGAGAGACAAGGTAGCCATAAGACCCCTAACTTCAAAACTGAAGAAAAATCTTAGTCTCTAATCCAGTGACAGGTAGATTCTGGATATCCATATATTGCTAATGAAAGTCTCGAGAGCTCTAGATGACTGGGATCAAAGGGAGAAGATGATTTAGATGCCTATGAAAGGTTCAGAAAACGTGCCAGAAAACCTGGAGTCAGGAAACATTCCAGAACACATCACCAGAAGGACAAGCCTATCTAATCTGAGAGGCTGGCTTAAATCACAAGGAGTTAATTTTACTGCAGGACTGTGGTTTTTGTGACTAACATTTCAAAAATGCAGTTTCATCAACACTGTGTGCACATGGAAAAGCAGCTCCCCTCCCCCACTTACTATAGTGGAAAATACAAAAGCAGTTAATGGGGAGAAAGATTCAAGAGAGTTTCTTTTTCAAATTCGGAAGAGTAAAGGGTCTTCATTTCTTTCAGCTTTTGCAGTGGGAGGCTTTTCTTCTAGCTGTGGAGTTAGAGGCCTTGACTTCTGTATGACATTTGAAAATTCTCCATCCAAGCCCTTGATAGATATTAATATTATCTACTTTTATTTCAGGACTGGGCTCCTAACCCAGATTATTAAAAAGGCTCCATTCCAATGATGATTTCAGGGTTGGGCTTCTAAACCAGATTATTAAAAGACCCAGTTTTCACCACTGACCCTAGTTTTCTTTCTTTCCATAATTTGGAGGAAGGTGAGTGTTTGTATAAAATAAATATTTTTCCCTCTTACTCCAGTTAAGTTTTAACTTAACTGGAGTAAAGTCCTAAAATCATGAAAAAATTTCTCATCCTCATACTTGGAAGCATCATGTCCTGCTGACTCAGGATTTCACATATTGTCAAAGTGTTCTCAGGTCCTCTTAGAAGATTCCAGAGCCACTTGTTTAAGTTAACCCCCCAGCTTTTGCTTACCTTGTCAGAGGTATCTGCAAAGCCCCCCAACACACCCAACAGGATATGATTACCCCCCTTGAGAAAAATGTGTTCGCCATGAACATTTTAGTAAAACATTGCAACCTTCTTTCTCTCTCCAGCTTTTGTGCAGATTCCCAGCGAAGCGAATAGCTCAAATAAAGTTGGAGCACAAAAGACTTTGTTTCCTAGGTAACTTCCAAAAAGAAAAAAAAAAAGTTTGGTGCATGCAAAAAGAGAGACAGAAAAGAGAAAGAGCAGGAGCTGGAGAGAAACCCCCACCACCAGAGGCCACATTTTGTAGGCGATTCCTTCCTTGAATAACAATGGACTGGGAAACAAAGAAAGAATAGTGACCTGACTACAGGCTCTGACCAGCAGCCAAAACCACGTTTTATTTAATGGCGACAGGGACAACTGGCTGCCAGAGAATCCTTTTGTCCTATTCTCTTTTTTGATTTGAGAAGCCGAACCTGTATTTACAGTTCTGATAAATATAGGGCAAAGTTGGAATCACTTTACTTTGAACTATAAGGTCCAGGAGTGGCATTAGGTGATGCCCATCTTGAACAGAGCCTTAATTGCAATTTAGGGGGGAAAAGTAAGTGGGAAAGAAAGCCAATGACATGGCTGTCTAAATGATATTTTATTTAATTCAAGTTAGGAAAATATCACTCTTGAAGGAGATTTAAAAGAATACCTGTTAGTTAGAAACAACAGAGTTTGCCATAGTTAAAAGAGAGAAGAAAGTGGAGAGAATGGGATAGGGCTGTGATGGAATGTTCTCAGAACCAGTACCTTTCTACTCCATGGGGTCATGTGGCAACACTCAGTGGGGGAGGGCGAACGGGTGCTGTTAAACTATGAACATGAAATGCAAAAAAAGGAAAAATTAAAAACATGCACACAACACACAGTACGTCCTGGTTAAGCCAAATCTAAAATATTAATAAATGAATATACTGGGATGACTCCCTCCCTTCCTTCCCTCCATATCTGTCCTTATTTTATGAGAAATAGCATAAATAGTGGCTAAGAGCACAGACTTTGGAGCTAGACTGTCTGAGTTCAAATCCTGGTTCTACCATTTATTTGCTCTGTGACCAGGGACAGTTACTCAGCCTTTCTAAGGTCAGTTTCCTCATCTGTAAGTTAGGGCAATAATAGCATCTGTCCATCCTCCAGGGCTGTTTTGAGGATTAAATGAGTAAGTCAACAGAAGAGACTGTGAAGAATGGTGGCACTCAATAAGCTCTGTACATTTGTCCGCTGCTACCCCTGCTACTGCTACTGTTATTATTACCCTTACCTTGTAGCTGTGCCATATCTGTGACCTTGACTTTGCAAATGGTAACTTTCCTTTAGATCCCAGTCCCATTTGTTAATTTGTAAAGACTGAATTCTTCTCTTTCCTTAGAGTGAGTTTATTTTCCTGTGAACTACTTGGAAGAAAATTCCCTGTGTGTACTTTCTTCATCCAGGCTGCTTAAAATTTGCCTCTTCCTCATATTCATAGACCGTATTTGAAGATAGGGCTGGATTCAAGGGCATGTGACAGGGCCCCGCACTCAGAAGGACACCATGCTTTTTTGAGTAAGGGGCCCTGGGCCTTCATTTTGCACTGAGCCCCACAAATGATGTAGCCCATCCTGTTTGGAGAATAATCAGGTAACTAGAATCCCCTTTTCAGGATCTACTGAGAAGGACATTGAAACTGTCTTAAACTCTAAACCATGTCAGCTTTGGATTCAATTAGGCCTCTGTTGTAGCACTTTCCATATAGCATTGCTTTAACGCAACCTGAATTCTTCCTGGATGTGTCTTTTTCTTCTATTAGATTATGAGTTCTTAGGGGTCAGGAGCCATATTTGATTTTCTTTTCAGTCTTCCATGATGCCAGCAAAATGCCTCCTCATTGTAGGAGCTCAACAAATTATTGGTACACTGGAATGATATTAGCCCTGTGTGTTTTAGCAGTGATGGGAAACCCCAAAAAAGTAAGGTTTGTCCTCAAGATATCAGGAGGAAGCAGACACCACAGAATCCATGGGTCCTGACCATCTTAATGCAAGTAGGTGAAAACAAATAGAGGAAAACACAAGCAATGTTTGGTTCCATCAGAGGCTCAGTATTAATATATTCCAGTTCTAATTATTCTTAAGCCTATGGCAGACATTTGTTTTGGAGGTGGAACACTCAAGGTCTAATTCTATTCTAAGTTTCTAAATTTTAAGTGACAGGGTTGCTCATTAATTTTTAAGCATAGCAAATGCCATTTCCTCAGGCCCAGTTGACTTTGATCTAGATGTTATTTAAGACAAATGATTTTGTAGGGTCTGTGGCTCCCTCACTGAAAATGATCATTTTGACAGATTTGCTGTATGTGGCCTGAGTTCAGACATTAACCTGGCTCTCTCCTAAGAATCAGTCACAGATAGTGATGTGTGGGTCTCAAGTAAGACCCCGGGGTATGCAAAGTAGAGAGCAAACTCATGGAAGCAGGAGAAAGGGAGCCTGAAAGCAAAGCCTGTATGGTAAAGGAACCTGTTTCCAAGAAACCAAAGGCTCTGGTGTCTCATGAAAGGATTTAAAAAATTACACAGCAGAAAACTGCAGGGCATAAAACATATTAATGACATTAATATTATTAATTTTGGTAGTTTGTCTTTAATCTTTTTTTATGATTTTTTTATTATGTTATGTTAATCACCACACATTACATCATTAGTTTTTGATGTAGTGTTCCATGATTCATTGTTTGCATATAACACCCAGTGCT